CAACAAGATCAGCTCCTCATGTCATGGCTTCTGTCATCAATGTCAGAATCAGTACATACAAGAATGGTTGGCTGCAACTCCTCATATGAAGTTTGGAAGAATCTTGGGGAGTTCTTTGCCTCTCAAACTCGTGCCAAGATTAAACAACTCAAGATCCAACTTAGAAACACCAAAAAGGAAGGAGCAATATCAAAGTATCTTCTGCAGATCAAGAAGATTGTTGACGCTTTGACAGCTATTGGCTCCAAGATTTCAACTGAGGACCACATTGATGCAATTTTCGATGGATTGGGCGAAGAATATGATCCATTTATTACCTCAGTCACTTCAAGAACTGATGATTATGCTGTCAATGAAATTGAGGCACTACTGCTTGCTCAAGAAGAAAGGATTGAAAAACACAAGAGACCTGAATTAAGTCATCTGCAAGCAAACTTTACACAGATGAACTTTAGGAGACAAGGTAATTTTCGAGGAGGTTCTCCCAATTACAACTACAGAGGACGTGCACCTTACAGAGGAGGAAGAAACTTCAGAGGTGGAGGTCGTTTCCAATCTGGTCAGAACTTCAATGGAGGTCAAAACTTCAATGGAGGTAAACAACAGTGTCAAATATGTGGCAAGTTTGGTCATACTGGATGGGAATGCTATAATCGGTTCAGCCAGAGTCTTCCAAATCCGTTTGAGCAGCAACAAATGCACAACTTTGGAAACTCAAATTCATCTCCCAAGATCCAGTCAAATATGACCATAGCAAATTCCAGTTCCTCTCAAGTTGATGATAACTCAGATTTCTTCTCAGCTTTTGACCCTACATGGTATCCAGATTCAGGTGCCACAAACCATTTTACACCAGATGCTTCAAACCTCACAACAAAAGCACCTTACACAGGTAAAGAAACAGTAAAGATAGGTAATGGTTCAGGTATGCAAATAAAGCACATTGGTCATTCTGTTCTTCAATCAAATTCTTTAGCCTTTACTTTATCGAATCTTCTTCATGTTCCAAATATCTCCAAGAATCTCATCAGTGTCTCTCAGTTTGCACAAGAAAATAAAGTTTTCTTTGAGTTCCATGCTAACATTTGCTTTGTCAAATCACAGGCTACCAAGGAGATCCTTCTCCAAGGCAAGCTTAAAAATGGATTGTATGCTTTTGAAGGTGCTGCCATATCGAAGTCATCTAAAGAATCCAAGTTTCCAAGATCTTTTCTTTCTTCTGCTTTTGATAATTCTAGTCACTGTAATAGTTCAAACACTTCATGTTTAACTATGAATGTATCCAATCATGTCAATGTAAAATCTACTCTAAGTCTTTGGCATGGTCGATTAGGACATGCTGCTCTAAATACTGTTAAGACAGTTCTGCAACACTGTAAAATACCATTTTGTAATAAAACTAATCATGTTGTTTGTAAAGCATGTTGTATGGCAAAAATGCACCAACTTCCATTTCCTAACTCTACCACAACCTATCACAAACCTCTTGAGCTCATCTTCTCAGACATTTGGGGACCTGCAGCTGTCCAAAGTACATGTGGATCTAGATATTATATTAGTTTCATAGATGCATACAGTAAATACACATGGGTTTATCCTTTACAAAACAGATCCCAAACCTATACAGTCTTCATACAATTCAAAGCCATGGTTGAGTTACAATTCGATACCAAAATTAAAACTCTTCAAACTGACAATGGCAAGGAATATATAAAACTCACTCCATTTCTTAGAGAACATGGTATCATCCATAGATTCTCATGTCCATATGTTCATCAACAAAATGGTAATGTTGAAAGAAAACATAGACACATTGTTGAAACTGGTCTAGCACTCATGGCTGCCTCCTCCACACCTACCAAATACTGGGAACATGCCTTCCTTGCAGCAACTTTTATCATCAACCTACTGCCAACACCAAACTTACAGAACCAATCACCTTATCAAGTCCTATTCAACAAAAATCCTAACTATGCATACCTTAGAACCTTTGGTTGTGCATGCTACCCTCACACCAGACCATATAACTCCCATAAACTTGACTATAGATCCACTCAATGCATCTTTCTTGGTTACAGTCCCCATCACAAAGGCTATAAATGCCTTGCACCTTCTGGTCGAATATACATCTCCAGAAATGTTATCTTTGATGAATTTCTATTTCCATTTGTCACACTTGCTGAACCTTTGTCCCAAACACAAACTTCACCTCCTTTATCCTCTGTCCCTCTCATTCCTCTAGTTCAGTCCAAGTGTCCTTCTACTACCACACAAGACACAAATGATCATAATGCTATTATTTTGCCTACTAACATCATTAACTATGCAAATGTCTCTCCTTTGCCTACTGTTTCTTCTCCCACCAGGGTGCTCACAACCTCCACAGATACATGTTCTGGTATTCCAGCACTTGCAGCAGCTAATCCAACTCTTACACAAGGTAATCCTAGTCTCAGTTCCACTCAACCTATTACAACTACTGCCACCAACAAGCATCAAATGACCACACGTGCCAAAGCTGGCATATTCAAACCCAAAGCTCTAAATGCTTCATTAGAACCAACAACTGTCACTCAAGCCATGTCAGAACCTCACTGGCTGAAAGCAATGCATGAGGAATATGATGCATTGCTAAAGAACAACACTTGGAAATTGGAGCCCTTACCTCCAGGCAGAACATCCATAGGCTGCAAGTGGGTGTTTCGAACCAAGTATAAACCATATGGTAGTATCCTCAAGTATAAGGCTCGACTAGTGGCAAAAGGCTTTCACCAACAGCCAGGATTTGATTTTGCTGAAACCTTCAGCCCAGTGGTCAAGCCAACAACTATTCGAGTTGTTCTCAGCCTAGCAGTAACTCAACAGTGGCCAATACATCAAATTGATGTTAATAATGCTTTTCTTAATGGTGATCTCACTGAAGATATTTTCATGGAACAACCTCCTGGCTTCACAAAGGGAGATAAAGCTCTTGTGTGTCATCTCACCAAAGCTTTATACGGTCTAAAGCAGGCTCCAAGAGCATGGTTTGAAAAACTAAGCTCTACTCTCATTCGACTTGGATTCACAGCAACAAAGTGTGACAGCTCACTGTTTGTCTCTTTTACTCCCACAACCACTCTATATGTTTTGGTCTATGTGGATGATATCCTTATTACAGGATCATGTTCCATAGCTATTAAAGCTCTTATTCAGGCATTGAACACTGCCTTTGCACTCAAAGACTTAGGTCATATTCATCACTTTCTTGGAATCGAAGCTCACAAGCTATCTACTGGTCAAATTTTACTGAATCAATCCAAATACATATCTGATCTGCTCAAAAAGGCAAATATGGCAGATTGCAAGCCAATGCCATCTCCAATGATCTCAGGTTTGAAGCTCTCTTCTACAAATGGGTCTCCCTTTCATGATCCTTCCTTGTATAGATCAGTTGTTGGTGCTCTACAATATGTCACAATAACAAGACCAGAAATCTCCTACTGTGTCAATAAAGTGTGCCAATTCATGCACAATCCGCTTGACACCCATTGGAAAACAGTCAAACGAATTCTGAGATACCTTAGTGGAACTGCATCTCATGGTCTGAAATTTACTCCATCCATCCACTCTCATCTTGTAGCATACTGTGATTCTGATTGGGGATCCGATCCAGATGATCGAAGGTCCACATCTGGCTACTGCATTTATCTTGGTGGAAATCTAGTATCCTGGTCATCTAAAAAGCAACCGGTTGTCAGCAGGTCAAGCACTGAAGCTGAATACAGATGCATCGCTTCTTCAATCACCGAGCTTACTTGGCTTCGCTCACTCCTTACTGAATTACATGTGCCTTTGCCAAAACCTCCCATGTTGTATTGTGACAATCTAAGTGCAGTAATGCTTTCTGCCAACCCCTTATTTCATTCTCGAACTAAGCATTTTGAACTGGACCTGTTCTTTGTTCGGGAAAAAGTACTCAACAAGGAGGTTCTCATTCATCATATTCCTGCCCTTTATCAAATTGTTGATGGACTTACTAAACCAATATCCAACTTGAAGTTTCTTGACTTTCGGACCAAGCTTCGAGTTTCTTCTTAATTCACTCCTCAGCTTGCGGGGGGATGATAGAGTAATAGTAGTTAGTTATAACTGTCAAGTGTTAGTTGTAACTATATTTAGTTTTGCATTCAGTTAGCTCAGTATATATGCAACTGATGTATCAGTATTCGTTTCATGAAATGCATTACAGATTTCTTTCTTTATTCTTTCTTCTTCCTTTCCTTTTTTCTGTATGAATCTGATACCTTTCAATATGATCTCTCATGGATTTATTTTGGGTTTGTGTATGGCAATAAAAATGTTGATATAAAAGCAAAATTTGGATAATTTCACCGTGTTCTTTATATCTACGGATATACATATGAAAACATACGATCTTGATAATTTATTACTTGTAATGCTTGAGCCCCGTACGAGAGATGTTAAATGGTTAGAACACTTAGAGATTAAGTTTAAACTACTTGTTAGAGCCCCATATTAATTTTGATTATGTCTTAACCCTTTCCGCCAATGAAGATTGAAGGAAATCAAAAACCCGAACCATTTTTATCATTGCATCTTTGTTCGTGTTAGTAGTTACATTTTAACTTAGCGTTGTCATTCATCACTTAATTTACTGTTCATATATTCAATTTAAACCATTACGATCGATTCAAAAAAATATGAAAATAACAAAATAATACTTGAAAATTACTAATCTCCGAATAACAAAACGTTTTCTCACTCCTTTATTAATTGTATGACCATTATACCATCTGTGGGCAGAATTAATTTTATTTAAATCAAACACAAAATTAAACCAAAAAAAAAGTACTTTTAGTCGCAAAACTTAAAGAATACCACAAAGAAAAAGGCAAAGAAGGCGGCTAAATTGTCCTAACCACATAATAATCGATGAATAGTAAAAGGAAAGAGAAACATCACCAAACAAACCAAACGTGTGAGGTGTGTCCTACGACAAGACCGACATTTCCTCCCATTTTTTTAACCTCAACTTTGATGCTAACCACAAAACACAACCCTCTTTCCATTTCAGTCGGCAATTCTGAAGCTCTTAGAAAAAGTCAAATCATTTTGAGAAAAAACAAAAAAGTAATTATTAGTTTCTTTTTCATTTAGACTTAGGAGCTGAAATCACCTTGAATCTCAAAATATTTTCATTCATCAGAGGAAAAAAAAAAAAGAAAACTGTTTATTGAATTTTGTTGAAGGTAGTGATTTGATTGCGTAACCCATTTTTGTTCAAGTTTTTTCTTTGATCCTTCAATGGATTCTGACTTCTGGACCTCGCGTCTTGCCGCCGCCAAACGCCAGTACACGCTTCAGCATCACCACCCAAGTTCCCATTTAGGTTGGTGTTCATGGCAATTCTTCCTATGTTCCCATTTTTTTCTGGGTCTGGTCAAAATCTTCTTTTTATTATTATTATTATTGAATTTGTGGGGTGTGTCAGATCGGTTAGGAATCGATGACTTTGATGTGGAAGAAGAGGTGCGACCCGATTTCCCGTGTCCCTATTGTTATGAAGACTTTGACATCGTGTCTTTGTGTTCTCATCTTGAAGACGAGCATTCATGTGAATCAAAAGTCACGGTGGGTGGCTGTTATTATCTCTGATATCATTTCCTTTCCGTTGTTGTAACTTAGATCTATTTTCTGTTCTTTGTTAATATGTTTGCTTGTTACAGTTGGTTTTTTCTAATAACAAAAAAAAAAATAAAAAAAAAAAATCTAAAGCTAGATCCTGTTTGCCTCGTATCTTCATCAGATAAATGGGTAATCTTGATAACAAAGTTGTTGGAAGCCTAAAATTAGTTTCCTCATATGGTTGAAAGCAAGAAAGCTTATTGCTACATAGCAAACCTATACTGAATTGAGTTTTCTCTATTTTTCGATCTCAGAAAAATTCTATGAGCAGCTTTACTTTTAAAATTCCAAACCAGAGGAGTGTCTTAGTGATATTTGCTTGCTCAGTTTCAGTGTTATTGAGAATCTGCAAGTTTTGATTAGATACTTTACTGGGCATTTAGAATCGTTACCTGTGAACCCGGAATAATGTGGATTGTGGTAATTTAACGTGGAAAGAGGTTAAAACTGCATATAATGACATTTTTTGAAGTCATTTATATTTAGGATCTAGGACAAGTAACCTGCTTTAGGTTCTTGACATGGCCTACCTTATGATTGACCTGAACATAGGCGTGAGAATTGTAGTTTGCTGGTTCAAACTAGCATATAAGCATGTTATCTTTTGTTTATTGCCCTTATTCCTTACTCTTTTTTTCCCCAGATACTTTGTGATTTGGTTATAATAAAGCAAGAAGTGATGGAGTGAATTAGCTCAAGAATATATATAACTGATTAATTTAAACTTTGTGGAGGACCGAAGTTTGCATATCAAAGAGGACTATATGATTTAGTTTTAAGTTTGTAATCTATTATAAATGAGTAAGAAACCAAAGGCAATTCATAGAAAGAAAATGGTTAGTATAGGGCCTTCTTGATTTTATGCCCTTGAACTTTTTTCTTCCTGCCTATATATTCTTCTAGCATACAGCTCCAATGAGAATTGTCTCTCTCTATTCATTTCTTTCAAATGCCCTTTATGTATTGTATACATGCGCTCAAGGGACTTTTACAATATACCCAAGGACATTCAGGAGGTATGTTCCTAACAACTACTTACTGAGATGGGAAATGATTCTGTATCATTTCATAAAAAAGGTAACCTTTTGATGAATGATCTTCTGAACCTGAATCCTAAATGTTATCTGTCGTTAAAAATCTTCTGATCATTGAGATGGACTTGCTGCTCAATTAGAAATTTATAATGTAGCTGATTTTGTGTGTATGTGTGCACTTTGAATAATCTGTATTAATAAACTATATAAAGGAAAAATCAATGAAGCTGAAGATCAATGATTGGCTTTTTTTTTTTTTTCTGGTTGTTGCTTTACATCCCCACCTCAAGAATTGACTCTAATCTGGTTCTGATAGTGTCATTCATTGTTTTTCTATTATGCAGATTTGTCCTATATGCTCAGTTAAAGTTGCACGGGACATGTTGAGTCACATAACGCTGCAACATGGGCACTTGTTTAAGATATCCTTTATATTGTTGTTTTGATTGAAAATAATTAGCTTGCTCAGATATTGGGTTGCTTCTCAAATGATAAATGAAAAACTTCAATTGTTTTCCTTAACTAAGGATTACGTACAGAGAAGGCGCAGGTTAAGAAGAGTTGCTATTCCAAATAGTCAGACATTGTCACTTTTGGGTCGAGATCTTCGTGAGGCTCATTTACAGGTGCTTCTTGGTGGCGGCGGTGGCGGTGGATATCGGTCAAACAGTGCCACAGTATCTAATGCAGCTACTGATCCATTCCTATCCTCTTTTATTTTGAATTTCCCTGCTTGCGAAGCAGAAGAAATTTCGAAATCTGTAGTAACAAGTGCTGAAGATTCTTCTTCAAGGAATACGGCACCTTCGCATATTTGGAAATCAAGGTGCTCTTTCATGAATTTTAGCTTCCTAATTGTTATTTAATATAAAGAGATTTGGAAATATCTTTGAAATTTTCAATCCCTCAAATCATCAGGAAACTCTCATTATAATGCATTAATCTGTTAAAAAAAACCCTGTTAAATATCTTTTTGATTTCCTTCCTGCACATTATTTATGACAAAAAAACTTAAACATATCTTTACTCTCGAATATTTGGCAATGGACCCGGAAATGATACATTGGAAGAATTTTGCATTTTTTTTTCCATCATAAGTATTTTACACCATCAAATGATCTGAATGTAATGCAATGGGGTGGGCAGAAGCATGATTTGTGACCTTTCTATGTCATCTAGGAACAGATATTAGTCCACTGTACTTGTGTACATAAACTGGTCCTTTCATTCATGCTTAATGTGCATGTTTCATCTTTATTAAAGAATGCCCTAGAATCACAGCTTTGATCTGTGTGTCTCTGCAGTTTTGATCCCTCCTTGAGTATTGAAGAGCGGGAGAAAAGGATAAAACAAGCTGCTGGAAGATCTGGTTTTGTGCAGGATTTGTTTCTTTCAACTTTATTAGGCGACTAATGGAAACTGTGAGTTGCTTAGAAAAGAATAATCAGACATGAGATCCATCCTTTAGGATCTTGATGATAGATACCTCCAGCGGGATAGGGTGGTTATTTGGTAATCGATGTTAGCCCAAGTGGGATATTTGTGGCAGTGGCACCTTTGACAAAGTGCTGAATCTGATGATAGTTATCCTTATCCATTTATCCCATACTTGTAAGCATCTTCACTAGAGATGTATTACTTTCTTTTCTTTTTTTTAAAAAAAGTTTTCTAGCTTATGGAAAGACTTATATTTTGTTATATTGGCATTATGATTCCTTTAGTAATGAGAACACAGAGGACCCTTATGCTTCGTTTGACAGATGAAATATTTTGTACAATCTAATCATTGCTTAAACAAACAAGAAGCAATTAGATCTATCAAGGAATTAAGTAAAGGGATTGAATATATCTCTCGTCATTGGCAACACACCTCTTAACTCGTCGCTTTATTTTCTTTATTTTTTATTTTAAGTACAAAGTCGTCACTTTTTATCAAAGAGAATGTTGTCGACCACGTTCTGAGAAGTTGACAAATTACCCAATAACAACTTTCAAAATTCCCTTCCCTTCATTCTCATCGGTTTGTTACGGAAGGAGGAAAACTACATCATCCTAATCGAATCTGATGAAGAAATTGGAAATGCTCTTTGATAAATTAAAAATAAAATAAAATCGCTAAATGTATCAAAAACTACATTTTTATGTACCATCTAGATCACAAATTCGTAATGTCTGTGGGAATATGAATTTGTGAAAGTTTCACAATATGGCTTTAGTGAGCTAACATATTTTTAAATATGAATTCACTCATTTTTTTTTGGGGTTTTGATCCGGATAAAATATAGGCCCAATGACATACGAAAAAGCCCAACCCACCAAGGATCCAGAGCAAGCGTGACAGACAACTATCGCGTGTAAGCCATAATGCTCTCATCGCGACAGACAAGCCGCAATAACCATATCGCGGATGAAACCCCCTCAAGTAAGCAAGCTTAACGTCCAAGGCAATCCCACCGCGCCTTTATGCCAATAAGCAACGGACAGCTCCAGCTTACCGCGACTCTACAACTAGACACTAACAAAGATAAGGCAACTCAGATCTTAGTACTGACCTGCAACCCAAACTTGGCAATCAGAAGCCAAGCCGCCTTGCTAAGGCAGCATCATAACTACTATATAAACAAAGGGTTCAACACTCAGGTACGATCATCCTTTACATTTAACAACATACATCACCTGCCTCTGATACTGACTTAAGCATCAGAGTGTCTTTGCAGGTACCCCAGTCAGACTTAACGTGCTACCGCAAAGGGCAGATACACAGTTTGATCCCATCCTGACTGAAGGCCCAAGACCGAGCACTAAAATCCATATCTCAACCGTGTGTGATCAGGCTTGATACAGTTTGGCCAACCCACGCCATATCCGGTCTGATCAGGTTTATTATTTGGTTGTAGAGCTTCATTTTGTTATATTATTTTTTTATTAAAATAATTAATTATGCAACCAGAACCAGGTGAGAGGAACAATATAGAGGGGGCGTACCACATACGGTATTCGTTTATCATCGTGTAAATGTTGAATTGTTAGTAGATACTGAAGCCTACAAAATTTGAAGGACATTAAAATCCATCATGCTGTTGAGACTTGAGTCTCCAAAGGAAATAGACTACTTCATGTAAATTTTTACATGATAATATGTGCATATCTTTTTTTTATAGACATTAAATAAACAGGATTTGATCAAAATTTATAAATGTGTATAAATAAAAGAAATAAACATGAAAAATCTATTTCTATTTCTAATTCACCTTAGTTCCGTTTAGAACATCTAATGTTTGAGCTCTGAACTGGACTTTCGATTAGATCGTGATCCCCCGGTCATGCCAAGGAAAAACAAGGATGAAAATCCACTGAATTATTCGCGTAACAGACCCATGGTTCATGTAGTAGCATATGGTCTTCGAAAAACTAATAGTTTTTTTACCATTTAGCTTGTAACTTTTTGTCATGTTTTAATTTTATTTTATTTTTAAAGAAGTTTGAACCGTTGTTTAGTGATTGTCATTTTAATATTAATTTGTCTTCACAGCTGAAAAGGTCTTAACAGTTAACCAAAAGACAAAAATGGCATGCACAAAGTTGAACTGGTCGGTGGAAGACACACATGTCAACTTGTCGGCATTAGTTAAAATTACAAATTAATTTATGATTTGCTCGTTTGAATTCGCAATATATTCTTGAATACCAATGATGGTCATCTTGATCAAACTTCTAGCTGGTAATGATTGTTTAATGATTACTACAATGTTCTTAATGTTCTGCTTGCTGTAAAATCGACTTTGACATTTAACCCTTATAATTCTTTAAAAATATTCTTCAAGTACTTTGTTTTATTTTATAACCAACCCTACGTATATTAACTTTATTTAGATTTGAAAAACTCAGAATCAGTAATATCAATAGTAATAAACAAGGGTACTTGCAAGAAAAGCAGAGAACAAAATTTTACAATGTCATTCCTGTAAACAGAAATCTCTTATTTTGACACAAATTAACAACACGTACGTAGTGCTGTTCATAAATGGTGTCTCAAGAACAACTAGTTAATTATTAATTACACAAAAGACATAACTTATTTATTACTGCTAATTAATTTTACTTTACAAAACAAAACACAGAGAAAGAAAGAACACTCGAATTCAATCCGAACCAATAGAATTAATTATCATTCTTCTGATCAATTTAAACTCTCAATGGCCTTAGCATCTTCCTTAGGGACAGTGACAGTGAGAACCCCATTCTCCATGGAAGCCTTCACCTGATCCAATTTGGCATTCGCTGGAAGCGTGAAACTCCTCTTGAATTTTCCACTGCTACACTCAAAGCGATGCCATCCATCGTTGTTATCTTCTTTCTCCATGCTCCTCTCTCCGCTAATCTGAAGTATTTTTCCATCTTCAACCTCAACCTTCACTTCCTCTTTCTTCAGCCCCGAAATATCAGCCTTGAATACGTGAGCTTCTGGGGTCTCCTTCCAATCAATTTGGTTATTATGGAACGCTGGATTCTCCCGAGAAAGTTCTGGTAATGAAGTAGAAATGGCACTCGAGAATGGAGAATCCTCGAAGGGGTTGCTGTTTGGGATGATGGACATTTTCTTGAGATTTTTCTGTGACAACAGTGTTCGATGTTGTTGTAGGGACAATTTGGATGTTTTAAAGAGTGTTGTATTATATTTATGTACTCTCGGAAGGTGAAGAGAATTCTTCGCAAACATTCACGGACGAGATTATAAGTCTCCTTTCTTCGGATAGAATGTGGACATAATTTTTCTTGACAGAGATCTTTATGGAATTTGTGTCAAATTCTTAATTTTGTATATAATACAGACAAAAAATAGTTACCTGAGGATTGTGAGGAAATGATAAAACTTTTACGCTCATAACTGTGATGTTATTAACAGTTAAATTGATTTTATAAGTTTAAAAGGCTCTCGAGGAAAACGTATTAGAGAAATACAAAAATATTAATATATAGTAATATAAATAAGAGTCTCCAGAAATCAGAAGGCAAAGAGTTAAGTTGAGTTGTAAACTCTTAGATTGAGTGAGAACTCTCTCTTTTTACTCAGTATTGAGTAAAAAGTCTGTAACCTTTATCTAAATATTCTTGACACTCCTTTTTGAATTCTTCAACATCTTTCACTGTATATGGAATCTTATTAGGAACATTTACTTCTTGTAATGGATTTTTAAATTTTATTTCAATTAATTCTTCATTAGTAATATTTATTCTATCTCTTAAAATTTGACCTTTTTTAATTATTTCATATTCTAATATTACTTGTTTTTTCTTCAATGTTCTTTTCTTAGTAATTATGAATCCAGACAATAATAATACTGCTATTGAATAATTCATATCTTATTTGTCTTCTTTTTCAACTTAATAGTCCTACGTATGTTGATATGTCACTTCTTCATAGCTGTCTTCAATTTTTGCTTCTTCTTCTTCATTTTTTGGGGCAACATGGACATTTTCTTTAAGTGTCTTTCGTAGTTACCAAGACTAGTACAGATGGCTGAAATAATTTCATCAGGTAATGTGTCTAAGTATTCACTCATTGTTTCAAACTTATCTTCAAACTTTAGTAAAAGTTTTTTAGCTTCTTCCTTCAGTGGTTGTGAATCTTTACTGTAGATGATGGATATACGGCTGTAATAGTTTAGCCTGTATCCACTTTTATTCTGTAAAGGATTGGAATCAATTGGTCTTGTAAACGATGATTTCAATGAGTTTAAAGCCATGCATTTAAATCAAATGATGATTTCTAATTGAGTTATGTGTAGCTGGTATTTTAGAACCGTGTTCTTTTATCTTTCTCAATATTCTGGTCAAATAGGAGCTCTTTGATGTAGTGGGAGCAAAGTATTGACCTAAGACAATGTACACTCGAAGTACAAGAATTTGTCTTTTGATTCCAAGGGGAGGTTATTAGTATTGATATCAAAAGTAAAATTGACATTAAACTCTTGTGTGGATTAATGTGAGTAAAAATTAATTGATATTATTTACAATAAATTATTTGGAATCTCCAAGCAATGGAAAATGAGATGCTCTTATTAAAAAATTAAAAGGTTGCTTTATAACTCACTTTTAATTAATATATAAGGTCATGAATCTCCTATAAAAACAGAAAAGAAAAACATAATATTTGAGAGAATGTGAGAGAAAAGGAGATGAAATTAAAAAATTCGAATGTACAAGAATTAGTGAGAGAATGTATACTAAAATCTTAAATTTGAAATAATTCAAGTATTGTATAGTATATATTTTATAATCCACATTAAGTTATGTGCTTATAATTTTATTTATCATTTTAATATTGTGAATTTCTATTATATTTTAATAAAAAATAATTAAATAATATTTCCTCTTCGTAGGAATAAATCTTATGATATTACAATATCGATCTAGATTTATTTCTCGACACTATAATAATTACAATTCACATACATGATACTTTCCCTCACAATCCATGGTAAGGGTTTTCTTTCTTAAAGACCGCATACACAAAAGTAATATTACAACACTAACGCTAAGCACACAATTTAAAAAAAGAAAAGAAAAAGAAAAACACATAAACATAATCAGTTTAACCAGAGATTTCTATGGCCTTAACATCAGTCTTCTTGACCTCTTCCTTTGGAACAGTCACAGTAAGAACCCCATTTTCCATGGAAGCTTTCACTTGTTCCATTTTGGCATTCTCTGGCAATCTGAACCTCCTCGTGAACTTGCCACCGCTACGCTCCACCCTATGCCACGTGTCATTCTTATCTTCTTTCTCAACGTTCCTCTCTCCAGTTATCTGAAGAACCCTGTCATCTTCAATCTCTACCTTCACTTCCTCCTTCTTCAGACCAGGAAGATCAGCCTTGAACACATGTGCTTCTGGGGTCTCCTTCCAATCCACTCGTGTGCTCACAAATGCAGAATTTTCCCGAGAAAATTCAGGGTAGGAAGCAGAAAGAGAACTGGGAAAAGAAAAATCCTTAAAAGGGTCCCAGACATCGAGGGAGAATGGATCGAAAACGTTGCTCCTTCGACCACCCAAGAAACTTGGAATCAGTGACATCTTCTCTTATTCTCTCTATTGAACTGGAACTAGCACAGATTGAGATTGTTACCAAAGAACCTTTTTTCTTTTTTTCTCGTTTGATGTTGTTCAGAGGGACATACGAGGTATTTAAACAAGCGGAGAAGTAACCGGTATTTTCGAGAAAATCCAACTTCCCATTGATTTACCGTTTCTAAAAATTCGAAAACTTTCTGGTCTCTTCTGCGTAGTAATGCCTAGAAGGGTCTAGATATCACTTCACGAGTTCGTTGTTAATTCGGCTTGGGTTTTGAAGTCCAAATAATGAGTTGGGCTGAAAACGAAAATGCTAAGTGAAATAGTGTAGTTAATAGCGCCTTCATTTGTTTTATACTTTGAGCCCAACCCACGTCGATAAGGTTAGGGGTGTGAAAAAAATTGGTTGATTTGCCCGTGTTTTTGATCTGATATTGATTTAATCTATAAATATTTACTTTTTTGAATTAGATTTAATTACTAATCCACTTTTATTTGGGTCAGTTTTAAACTTGACTTATTTTAATAATTGACATATTGACCCAAAACTTGACTCATACCCATTATGTGCAGCAACAAAAAAAATGAAAAATCAGCCACTTTTATTATGCATTGACATTATATGATATAAATTATTTGCTTTTGCATAGGCTGTATCACCTTCTTAACTAGTATATGTATTACTTAGTATGAACTTTTTAATCTTTTGTAATCACTTATTGTCAGATTAGTCAGACACTCTATTTTTGTAAAGATTAGCCCTTTTCTTGTGTTCTATCTGTTTTTCTGTCAATAAAGAAATAGGTACTTATGATAGGAATACACTAAATTGCATCTTAGTTTGATACTTGTGTGTGCTAGATATAAGCTGAAAGTTTAGTATGTAAACCAAAATCTTTGGGTACGAGATGAAATACTCCTTTTTTTTAATTTATCATTATTTTGGAGCTTTTTGGTGTTCCAATAAAATCATGATAATTGCTAATTGCAAATATCAATTATGAGTTAGAATGAGCTACTCATGACACTGATTAGTACCATGGAATAGTAATATTAGCATTTTTTTTGAAGAATTGGTATCTATTTAACAAATATCAAATTTATTATATATTTTAAAAAAAAAAAAATTAAATTACATGAGTTTAAAAATTAAACCAATAACTATAAAAAAAATCAAATAAAAAATAAGTTTTGAAATCAAGTCAAAAGTGGATCAGGTTGGATTTGACCTGATTTTGAAACTAAGTCAGACCCACTTCAGAAATCAAGTCAAGTCAGATCTGACCCAGTTCTAAACTAGTTCAAAAAAAATTAAATCGAATCAGACCTGATTTGGATCAAATTAAACTGGATCGAGTCAAAATATCTTATTTATAAAACTAAGTCAAGTCGCGTCGGCACAAAAATTCGACCCGACGTGACCCATACACAGAGCTAGATAAGGCTAATAGAGTAAATAGGGCCTTCCTAAATATAAAATGGTAATTCAAATGCACATGTTCTGAAACCTCAAGCATAAAATATTTTTGTTTGTCATTCTTGGTTGTCTACTCAGCTTCATTCTATGGTTCACAATTCACAAGTAACACCCGCTTCCATGTAGCCCATACATAGAAAATATTATCCTCGAATGATATTATGACAATACACAAAAAATAACAATAATATTCAGATGTAAACAGTACATTTATACTGTTATATAGTTAAGTAAATAAAATCCATAAGAGAGCTATAAAATTGTATTTTGTATACATGACCAAAAAAAGTAAAAGCAATAAAGGATGAAATTAAAATAAAAAAGTATATATATATATATATATATATATATATATATATATATATATATATATATATGTTGGGCTTCCTCCTTCAATACTAAGCCCAAGTCCATTTGAGGAGTTTCCTAAAAACTCTAACCCTAATTTCCACCTCCTCTATATATACTCATTAGTTGTGGGTGGAGGCTAGGTTAGATTAGAGAGGTCAGATTTGAGAGAACAAGTTTGAGAGAAAAATTGTTTGATTGTTTGAGTAAAGCTTTATGCTTTGCATTTGAGAGATCTCTAGAGAGAGTTTGAGTGAAACATTTCTAGGATAGTTTGATTATCACCATTATTGGAGAGGTTGAGTTAACCACCACATTGGTGTATTTGATTCGTTGTAAGTGGATTTTTGATCTGGACTAGGTCCCGTGAGTTTTTTACTTCCTCATTGGAGAAGGTTTTCTCACGTTAAATCTGGTTGTGTTCTTCTTCTTCTCTCTCTCCTGTGTTTACGTTTTGATTTTTTCGCTGCGCTGCCTGACCTGGTGAAGTTCAGGCCGAGGTATTGTCGAGATCCGAGATCAGGATCTTGTTGATTGACTTCCGCACAAAGGCCCCTGAGCCGATCTGAGGGAACCGAGTTTTTCCAACAATATATATATGAAATTAATATTTATTCTTTTTTTTTATAACAATATTTATTCTTTTAAAGAATATAGAATTGTATCATTTTAAATGAGAAAAATAAATATACAATAAAAATCATGGGGGAAAAAATAAAAGGTTTTTTTAATGCAATGTCGTACTAATTTCTTTGGTTTAGGGAATAATTCAATTGCTCAACTACACAAGTGCTCCGAACAAGCTCAAATTTCGACTTTTATGATGTGAGTTTTAAAAAATAAAATTAGAAATTACTTTTTTTAGCTTAAGAGACAAACGCTTAAGGCATGTTAAAATGAGACGTGACAAAAATTAATTCAATAATTGCTTTTATATATGTTCAGTTAATTTTGCAATCAAAGAGAATAGAATAAATTGTATTTATGATAAGTTAGTCAAAATAAAAATTTAGATAATTAATTTTGTTCGGATCATCTCAAAAAATCAGTTTTATATATATAGTAAAATAAGAAAAGGTATGAAGCACATTAAAAAAGAATACGTATTCAACTATCTAGGCTTCAAAATAACCAAATGAATTACATCTAAACATCTTAATTATGAGAAAAAAGTTTTTTATTACAGAAATTTTTTCATTACTTCAATCAATTTTATCTAAACATATTATTTTTATTCCAAAACTCTTTTTTCCGTAAAAAGAACTATTTTAGTAATAATTAATCATTAAAAAAAATTCTTAAGAGGAATTTTTTTTTATTACGGTGAAAAAATTATTACTTTAATCATTTTTATCTAAATATCTTAGTTTTATTCCAAAAATGTTTTTCCCTATTTTAGAAATAATAAAACATTTTCATGCATTGACTAAAATTTTTTTGTTTCATTTTAAAAAAAAATATCCAATCATTTCTTTAAAATACCGACATAGGCAACCAAACAAGAGTAGCTCATATACTCCTTCATTTTCGAATAACTTCCTTTTTGGAAGAAGAGATATTTTTACTATAAAAAATATTCATTATCAATCCACTATCTTCATAATCACCATTGAATTAAAAAGAAAGAATACTAACAAAATGTTGAAAAAAGAAAAAATATCAATCCAATAATAATTATGAAGATAATAAATTATTTAGTAATAAGAATATCCTCATTGTTTGAAGAGATAAGAACTTTTTCCCTTGTATCATTAGAGATAGAATATTATATTTATCGAAGGCCGAACTTTGTTCATCTAGATCAAGATTATTCTCAACAAGAATATGTACTACTTAATCATGCAATACAAATTCAACATATTTTCTACCTTTTGGTAATGAGTATTGTATAAAATATCCTAGTACACATTGTTCATCCTTAATTATGCAAGTACAAGCCAGAGTTTACTAACATTTATCAACAAGATCAACTATGAAATATTATTATTTTGTGTGAGTACAGTGCATAGTATGTCACTACAAGAAAACTGGTATTTGGAGGCTGTTTCACTTAAACTGCCTCCAATTGATACATAGAGGCGATATTTTCGACGATTTAATTGATTCGAGGCGATTGACGTGAAACCGCCTCCATTTTAACATTCAGAGGCCGTTACATTGAAACCGCCTCTAATTATTACATTTAGAGGCGGTTAAACCATAACCACCTACAAATGTATATTAGACGTTGTTAAAATAATCGCTCTCATTGACCATTTAGAGGCAGTTGAGATATAATCGCCTATAAATGTAGCAATTATAGGTGGTTATATTAAAACCGCCTCTGAATTGTAAATTGAGGCGGTTATTTTAACCACCTCTAATATACATTTGGAGGCGGTTTCACGTCAACCACCTCAAAATATACATTAAAGGTGGCTAAATAACCGCCTCCAAAGCATATTTAGAGGCGGTTCATGATCTATCGTACAGTGAGATTCAAAGAGAAAAATCTCTTTGTTCAGCCGTTGGATTGTCCTCAAATTTGGTTAATGTGTTCTTCTCTTGTAATATTTTAATCTAACCGTTTAGATTTTTAAGTTGAATTATCTGGTGTTATATATAAATTTCTAAAGATGACTGTTGCACATTGAAAAAAACCATCTTACCTTCACTTTGAAGTCCCACATTGGATGTCACTTGTTCCTCTTTCTCTATTCTCTTCTATATAACAACCCACACTAACACACACATATACAAAATTCAATAAGTTTTTTATATTCAACTAATAACAATTATATTAACTTTTAAAACTAATTTTTTTTAAAAAATTATATTAACTAATCACTATACAAATATATTAAAAATAAAAATGTAATAATAAAAATTATATTAAATTTTAAAAGTAACAATATTAATATTAAAATTTTAAAATTTATATAATTTTAACCATTTGGAGGCAGTTACACGTTATTTGGAGGCAGTTAATATAACCGCCTCAGATTGTCTTTTGGAGGCGAAAATGGAGGCGGTTAAAATAACCAACCGCCTCAGATTATCTTTTGAAGGCGGTAGTGGAGGCGGTTAAAATAACTGCCTCAAAATATGTTTTGAAGGCGGTTAGAATAACCGCCTCTGATTGTCATGTAGAGGCGATTATTCCAGCGGTTTCTAAAAACTGCCGCGTTTTGCCTCGCGACGGTGATAAACGAGGCGGTTTATGAACTGCCGAACCAAGCATTTAGAGGCGGTTTGAACTGCCTCTAAATGCAAATATAACCGCCTCTAAAAACCAGTTTTTTGT